GCAGCTCACCGCGGACGCCCACGCAGCTCAAGTACGACAAAAAACAGCGCGCGCACGGACCTCGAGCGAAGCGACGCGGGGACGTCGGTGCTGGCACGATCCCCGGACCACCGCGACGCGACGGCGGCATGGAGACCGCTGGCAGCGCATCCGGACGTGCGTCCGTGCGCCCGTGCGCCCGCGTCGCGGGAAGAGTCCACGGCCGGCGCCCAGGTGCTGCAGCCCGCGACGCGCGTTTCAGACGGAGGCGTCGCGTACGCACGGCGGCCGCGCTCGCAGGCTCCGGTCGCACACCGATCGGTTGGGTGCCCGCTCCTCTCCGCCGTGCGTGCATTTTCTGACCCCGTATCCGTTATTCCGTGCGCAGGACGCGTGCTGCGCCATCATGCGTGCGACGGCGGCGGCGTTTGACCGTTCCGCACCGGTCCTGCGATTGTGGAGGGCAGCCGACGAGGTTCGTTTTGGGGTGCCAGGGACGAGCTCGACATTCGAGGTCGCGGCGCGGCAGGAAGACGAAAAAAATGAAAGTCGTCGGATCCGCTCGCAATTGGCAGGGCTGGCGGGAAACGTCCCTGAGCGCTCGCCGTCGAGAGGACACGTCCTGCGGGGGCGAACTGAAGGAGGTATGTACGATCTACCGGTTTCAGCCCCGTCATCGGCCGAAAATGACCCGGATTTCGGTCTCCAGATGGCGCTGTGCGTGCGGAACTCACGCTGCGTCCTCGGGCGTGCAACGGTGCAGTCTTTCGAGCATATTGCACCATCCCAGAGAGTGCCGAAGGCTGCCGACGGGTTCTCGTATGTGGTGCACCGTGCCGGAGACATGCGCGAGGCCATGTCCCGCCGCCAAAAGACGAAATTTCGTAGTCGTCGGAATCGCCCGCAAATGCAAGGGCCTGCGGGAAACGCTCCGGGGTGCCCGCAGTCGAAAGGACACGTCCCGCAGAGCCGGGATAGCAGAGGTACGCGCGATTCTACCGGCTTCATCCCCCAAATGAGCCGAAATTGACCCGTATTTGGCTCGCTGTGCTTGCAGGCCGCGTGCTGCGTCTTCGTGCGTGCGCTAGTGCTATCGTGCACACACGATGCACCGTGTCTGGTAGCGTCGAAGGCGGGCGACGAGTCTCGTATTGGGTCCCGGCGGCGTGCTCGAGATCGACCCGCCAACATTGGTCGAAAAGTGAAAGTCGTCGAGCGCGCCCGCAAGGGCAGGGGCTTGTGGGAACTGTTCATGAGGGCTCGCCGTCCAAACGATGCGCCCCGCGGAGGCGAACCGACGGAGGTACGCCCGATTCATTAGTTTCGGTCGAAGGGGACACATATTCATTTTTCGTCATTGTGTCCAGATCATGCTGAAATGCCCAGAGCCTATGCGCGAAGGATAGTGGACGCCTTGCATCGTATTTTGAGCGGCCCACGGGATGTGCTCCGCGGCTCGCTGACGAATTTCTGCGCGCGGGGGCACGGGGCACTCCGCTCTGCCCGCATCCACCCTCGAAGCCGCCGTGAATCGTCGATGCGCACGAGCCGGGATGACCTGGCCTCCGTACAGTCCACGTATGTACCGGTATCCACGGCGCGTCAACGTCGCACACATTCACCCCGCGCGCTCTTGCAGCGCCGTCGACCCGAGCATGCGCCATGGCCATGCCCTGGAAGCGTTGGCAACTCGGGCCCCGCACCGTGGACGTCGGCTGCGCGCCCGGTGTGCGCCCTCGATACGAAGCCGGAATAAGCACGGGCGCAGAGGCACGGTGGTCACGGCGCCCGCGCAACGCTGCTCCCTCGTAAGTTTGGACGAAATTCGCCGCTTCGTGTCCGCTGACGAGCATGGACACGGAGCCGTCAGGTTTCAGATGGATCGCGCGTAATGGCGGCGTTGGTGCGGGACTACGAAGGCATCGCAAGCAGGGAAGACACACCCGCTTCCTCGCGTAGGGATGGAGGCTCTCGGTTCTGTTTACTGCCGGGTGTGTGTGTACACAGATGCTCGTGTGGTGACGGTGTTCTTCGTCTGTCGAGGGGACACGGTCTGGTGTGCATAGGGGACGTCAAAGCGGCCGTTTGACTGCGGGGTATCTTGGCGGCGCCCGCGGCTTCAACGGACGACACTTGCGCCGCCCTACAAGTCGTCACCGTTGCGATTGGATATGCGGCTCCCGCATCGCCCGCTCGACCACCTCGCCTCCATACGGTTGGACAGCCCACGAACGTCGGCCAGCCAGACGTTTGCGTCTGATCAAGTGGTACTCGAGCTCCCGCGATACTCCCGTCTCTATTCCCGCTGCTATCGGCTACGCTTTGTGGCATGTCTCGCCCGCCTCCATGCCCGCTCATATCGTGTAACCAGGGTGTTCTTCTCCGCTTGTGAGCGAAGCGGTCGTGCACGCGTCGACTTGAGGCGACCATCACCTGTTCTACGTACATGCACCGCAATACGAAACTGCCTGCATGCTCGAGGAGCCGGAACCACATACTGACAAACTTGTGCATGGGCAGGTGCGGGGCACCGCGTCGCGCCCGTATGCGCTGTCGAAATAACCTGGAAGCTTGAAGATACTGGTGCAGCAACACATGCAGTGTGCATGAGCCGGGACGGCAAACTCTCCGCTCCAGTTCGTGTACGTACGGGTCCCAAGTTCCCATGTACTCACTCGTGTACGTGCAGTGTCGCCTCGCGCTCAAAGGCATACCCCACGGCGATCACCAGGAGGTGCGCACTCGGCCCTACACCCTCCCGAATCCCACGGGCGTCGGCTGCGTCGCAAGTGCGCCGCGTCGTCAGGATGTAGCCAACGCCGAAATAAGACACGGCACAGATAGCTTCCTGACAGCGCTGCCTCGTCGTAAGTCTGGAACGAACACATCTGCGTGCCGCTGGGTGTCCGCTGATGAGCATGTCTATTGACTCGTCAGGTTTCGGCGAGACGGCACCCGTGCTGCTGCGTCGCATGCAAGGAAAGGATGCACATCGGTCCCTCGCATACAGCCTTACAGGCGGCCGTCGAGCTCAGAGACCCAGAAGCAGGTACGCACGTCAGCACTAATTCCGCATGGTCTAACAAGTGTTGGTGCATGCAGTGCTGCTCGCAAGGCGGCGGCACCGTCCCTGGTCTACCGTCTAGAGAAGACACTCGGTCTGGTGCGATCTACGGAGCGCCGACCAAGCGAATCGAGTGCTGTGCACCGCGGACGTGTCCTCGATTCTCCAGACGACGCTTGCGCGGCTGCCTGGAGATCGTTGTTGTGTATCTTGGATCTGTGGTTCCTGGATCGTCTACTCGACTCCCCGCCTTTCCTCACGCTTCCGAGTGCCTAGAAACCTGGCATACCTCGGCAGCCACAACGTTTCCATCCGACGAGATCGTGCTCGGGCGTCCCGCGATGCTCCCGTCTCCGTTCTCACCCCCACCGGCTGCGCTTCATGCCCTGTTTCATCCGCCCTTACGGCCCCTCCGATGCGCCTATATTGTGTGATTTCTCACCCGCTTGCGAGCGCAGCAGCTGTGGGTGCGCCAATTCGAAGTACTGGTTGTGGTACACCATTGTACTATGTACCGCAATATACCTTAGGAGCACTAGCTGTCCCATTGTGTGTGTGTGCACGCCTGCTTCCTTGGTAGATCTGCAGAGGTTTATGTGACTCGGCTTCAAAAGTATCAGAACCCGGGAATACGGACTTCTCGTGCGACTGGACGTCAGATGGCGAGCGGGCATGCCGTGAGGGACAAGGTTACAATCATGTTTCAACTTGATCTCCTCCCGCAAGCGAGAACTTCCGGTACGCACGTCCTCGGGCACCGCGAACCCTTGCACCGAATCGCTTGCAGGTCAAGTGCACACATGGGAACAATATTTCAAATGGGAAGAGATGTGTATCTTGGTACATGCAGAGCAGATGTCATTGATTTCATGGTGTACATTGCCCTAGAGGTTATGCAGCAAGGAATACAAATATAATACATACAGCCTGCACAAATGTGCCACGGAGACGTACCATACCACTGCGGCTCACAGTGTGAACAGGCTGCGAGGACTGCAGCCAAGACGGACAATTTGCCCCGGGAGTTTGACTTCCGTGCGGACCGAGGTCGCGAAGAAACCGGTTCGCGAGCGGCAGCGTAACAGCGCTACGCCGTTGCGCTTTCGAACATCGCATCCAAACCGCTATGCGAGAGGAACTCAGCTAATGAGCCGTGACATAGGTTGCGGAGCGGGTGTCGGAGTGAGCGGATATGATTGCCTCGGCCGCTTCGAAAGATCGCATCTTTGTATTGGAGTCCAGGCATTTGGGGCATTTGGGGCAGGTCCTGGACGGGCTGCTGTTCATCCCTATGTGCACACACTGGCCTCTCCTATCGACTGATACTAAGTACATAAGTACACTGTGAAAGCGAGAAGTACGGGGGAGCATGAGCCATGCCGCAAAGAAGACAAAGATCGCAGACGAGACATTTACCGGTAGTAAGCTCGGAGCAGTGCGTATACGTGCTCCCATACGCCGGAAGGAGCATCCTGTCGCTTCCATTGTTATCGGACAGCACCTCGTCGTTGAAGGCGAGATCACATCGCCTTTCGGCACTGAGAAGCATCAGCTCTGCGGCATGCGCGCGGCTCCTGTCGATGTGTGCGTGTGCAACCCGGGCCTTGTAACACATCCGAGTCAATTCAAACTCGGCTCTACAGAAATCAACTCAGCACTCGCCTGTTTGTACCTGCCGGCGCACGCTCATATGTATGTTGCACACGCGGGGTCAGCATCTTTCTTCTCTCGCACATCCCCCTCCCCCTCAACTCACCCTTGCCGTGACATGTCCTCGACGCTGCACACCATTCCATTCAATCCGCAACCACGGACCGACGAGGGGGACTCAGACCCGTGTTGGGTACGTGAACGTCGCCAGGACATGATACGAAGCTACTTGAATAGCGGAATAGGTGAGTGAATCCCATCTAATGGTGACTTGGGGCTTGCACACTTACCTGGCTGTGCAGACAAGGCATCCGACGGCGCGCAAACGCGGATGCGATATGCTCCACGTTGCTACGCCTCCGACATCGTCATCAAGGGCGGTCAGAAGATTGTCGGGTGGCCGTCGATGATCCCGTTCACAGACCTCGCCAACATCCGTGGCGGCTCCTTGATGCTCGCCGAGCTTCATCGGCGGTGCCTTCTGCCGGATTGGCACCCCGACAAGCTTCGCTTCGAACCCACATCGCACGAGGACCAAGTCAACGCCGCCCGTGATCCTGAGAGCATCCACCCTACCCCTCATCTCCTGCCGGCGCTGAAGGTGAAGGCAGCGGAAGCCGCCGCCGCTAGAGTAGCTGCTCGGACCAGAGCCGCCGCTCGTGCAAGATACTACCACCCGCGCAACATGCAGTATGTCGGCCGCCCGTCGACATCAAAGTCGAAGATCCAGAGGGGCCAGCGGCGGGATACCAAGAAGCGGCGAGCACGGGCTTCAGACGCAGACCCTAGGGTGCGCAGGAAGCGGCCGAGGCGCGGCATCACAAGCATGCCCTTCGTGCTCCCAGGGTCAGATGGTACCAGCGGTGGCAGCGGCGGCGAGCCGGCATCGAAGCGGGAGGAGGTCGAGGAGTATGCACTGGACGATGACATCACTCAGTTCGACTTATCGCCCGAGTTCGACAGCGAGCTCACCGATCCCGACCCAATCGAGTCTACATCTAGATTGGGGAGCGAAGAGGAGGTGGACTGAGCTGGTTGCGTACTGGCGGGTGCTTTGCGCAGGGTAGGCGGGTGGTCGGATCGAGGCAAACGGTTGAAGTTAGAGGCGGTTCAGACCGCCGTACTAGATTACATTCATTGCTAATTATTGATATCAAGTCGACGGGGTAGCCCAGAGAACGGCGGTGAAATGTGAAGCCGGGCGAGATGGTTGTGTGGGAGTGGAAGGCTGTCGGCCGTGCTGGCGCGTCCGGTGCACGGCGGTGAGCGCTTCGAACCACACCAATGTCCAAATTTGGCCCATTCCGTCAAGTTCGTCATGAGCATGAGTTTGAGCGTCCTCAGGCAGAATAAACCATTACGAAGCAGTTTGTGCGCAAGCTGGTTGAGCTATGCTATGCCGGCGCGGCGGCGCAGCGGTGCTCGGCGAGTCTTTTGCCCCGTATGTGCGGAATCGGCTATGCATTCGATCAACGCACGCTGACCCTTGAAGTGAGCGGCCACACGTCGTCTGGCCCCGCTGATATACAGCCTGCATTATTACGTGGTGCCCTGTGATACGGACCAATCTGGAAAAGAATCTATCTGAAATGCTAGATTTCGGCCGTCCTCCTGTAAGAACCCGACGGTTCTTACTTACTACCGGCACTCCCTAGTGCCTGGACGGGAACGTCCACTTCAGTAGGAGAAGGTGTTCTCCGGGAATCGCGGAGAACTAGCGCATCTAGGCGCCCGTAGATTAGATACCGCCATTCATGTATCGTACGTAAGCGTACGGCGCCCGAAGGTTCGGGCCTCGGGCGCCTGGTGGGGGCAGAGTTCTACCACCCCCCACCATCCAGCGAGTACGCCGAGCAATCAAGCCCGGTCCAGAGTACTTGCGGGATTCGGGGAGTCGTGGGACTCGCGTACACTTACACTTTTTTACTCTAGCCGCGACGAACGAACTTTCGTTCACAGCATCAAGTTGCTCGACGTCACCACGTCATCAGAACATCGGACGCCTTACGACAGCGTACCCCAAATGGATCCCACCAGCCTTCCGGGAACAATGGTCGCCATGGGCGACCTGT